ATAAAAAACACTTCTAAAGAATAAATTTAAATTTAAAATAGAGTTACAGTTACTATTTACAACATACAAGTGCACATGGTGCACACAATGTAAGGTGACAGCAGTACAGTGAAGTAAAGTGACGTATGATGGGCAGTAAAGTGACTTTATAAAGGGCGGGGGGACAGGTTCAGAAGTGTTCAAGAGTCCAACAGCAGAGGGGAAGAAACTGTTCTTGTGGCGGGAGGTTCTAGTCCTGATGGACCGCAGCCTCCTGCCTGAGGGGAGTGGTTGGAATAGTCCATGTGCAGGTGAGAGGGGTCGGCTGTGATACGACCAGCCCGGCCTCGAGCTCGGGTGACGTACAGGTCCTGCAGCAATGGAAGGCTGCGGCCGATCACTTCCTCTGCAGAGCGCACAATGCGCTGTAGTCTCTGTTTGTCCCTGACTGTGGCTCCAGCGAACCACACGTGATGGAGGAGGTGAGGATGGACTCGATGATGGCCGTGTAGAACTGCACCAACATCTGTGCAGGCAGCTTGGCTTTCCTGAGCTGCCGCAGGAAGTACATCCTCTGCTGGGCCTTCTTGATGAGGGAGCTGATGGTCGGCTCCCACTTGAGGTCCTGGGTGATGGTGGTGCCCAGGAAACGGAAGGACTCCACAGAGGTGATGGGGGAGTCCATCCCGGAGGGTGGGGGCGGGGGGACAGTGCTCTTCCTGAAGTCCACAATCATCTCCACTGTCTTCAGCTCCAGGTTGTTACCACTGCACCAGGACACCAGCCGGTCCACCTCCCTCCTGTAGGCGGACTCATCGTTGTTGGAGATGAGTCCAATGAGGGTGGTGTCGTCGGCGAACTTGATCAGCTTCACGGAGTCGTGGCTGGAGGTGCAGTGGTTGGTGTACAGGGAGAAGAGCAGGGGAGAAAGAACACAGCCCTGTGGGGCTCCTGTATTTATAATCCGAGAGTCCGAGACATTCTTCCCCAGACGCACTCGCTGCTTCCTGTCCGTCAGGAAGTCAGTGATCCACCTGCAGGTGGAATCGGGCACGTTGAGCTGGGAGTGCTTGTCCTGGAGCAGGGATGGCAGGATTGTGTTGAAGGCAGAGCTGAAGTCCACGAACAGGACCCTGGCGTAGGTCCCCGGGGAGTCCAGGTGCTGTAGGATGTGGTGGAGGGCCAGGTTAATGGCGTCGTCTACAGATCTGTTGGCTCTGTAGGCGAATTTTAGGGGGTCCAGGAGGGGGGAGGTGAAGGACTTGAGATGGGAGAGAACCAGGCGTTCAAATGACTTCATGACGACAGACGTAAGTGCTACAGGTCTGTAGTCGTTGAGTCCTGTGATCCTGGGCTTCTTCAGGACGGGGACAATGATGGAGGATTTGAAGCAGGCCGGGACATGGCAGGACTGCAGAGAGGTGTTGAAAATGTCAGTGAACACAGGAGTAAGCTCACTGGCACAGTGTCTCAGAGTGGCCGGAGACACGTGGTCCGGTACAGGAGTTTTGCGGGGGTGCAGCCTCAAGAAGAGTTGTTTAATCTCTTTAGAGGCTATTGTTAGGCTGGGGGTAGGGCTGATGGGTGGGTCGTTAGAGTAGTGGGGGGTGGGGGAGGGAAAGGTGTCAGGGGCAGCATCAAAGCGACTGAAAAATAAGTTCAGTTCGTCAGCTAGCTTGTGGTCGTCAGCACAGGGGGGGGGCTTTGGGTTTGTAGTTGGTGATCTCCCGTAGGCCCCTCCAGACAGAAGCAGTATCGTTGTTACTAAACTGCTCCTGTAGTCGTTCTCTGTGCCGGGACTTGGCTGCTTTCAGTTCTTTCCTGAACTGATATTTAGCTGCTTTGTAGCCGCTGCGGTCCCCCTCCCTGAAAGCAGACTCCTTTGCTTTCCTGAGCTGCCGGAGTTTAGCAGTGAACCAGGGTTTGTCATTGTTATAGATGACCCTGGTCCTTGTTGGAATGATGCTATCCTCACAGAAGTGAATGTATGACGTCACAGTGTCCGTGTATTCATCCAAACTGTCTGTGGCAGCTCTGAAAAGGTCCCAGTCTGTAGATTCCATGCATGCGTGCAGCTCTTCCACAGCTTCATCAGACCACACTTTGGAGCTCCTCACTGCAGGTTTCGAGAGCTTTAGTCTCTGTCTGTAAGCAGGAACCAGATGTATCATGGAGTGATCTGAGAAGCCGAGGGCTGGCTTGGGAACAGCGCGAAAAGCTCCGCGCACGGTGGTGTAGCAGTGATCCAGAGTGTTCTCCTCTCTGGTCGGGCATTTGATAAACTGTCTGTATTTGGGTAATTCCTGGCTCAAGTTTCCCTTATTAAAATCCCCCAGGATAATAATCAGAGAGTCCGGGTATAAACGTTCCATACACAGTACTTGCTCTGCGAGTGCGCGCTGAGCCTCGCGCGCGTCCGCGCATGGCGGTATGTAAACAGAGGCAAGAATGAATGAAACAATTTCACGAGGGGAGTAAAATGGTTTACAATGAATGAAAAGATATTCCAGAGCAGGAGAGCAGTGCTTGGAGATCACTGTCACATCGTTACACCAGTTTGTATTGACGTAGAAACACAGCCCACCGCCTCTGCTCATCCCTGAAAGCGCACAATGGCGATCCGCGCGGAACAGCCCAAAACCCTGCAGCTCCAGAGCGCAGTCCGGGATCCGCTCATTTAGCCAGGTCTCAGTGAAGCAGAGGACACAGGATGAAGTCCTTGTTTCTTCTCATGAGCAGGCTGAGTTCGTCTTATTGCCCAGTGAGCGTACGTTGGAGAGAAAAATGCCAGGGAGAGCCGTGCGCTCCTCTCCTCCTCAGACGCACGAGCAGGCCTCCACGCTTTCCCCTTTTACGGGCCCACACTTTTTTGGCTAGAACATGGACTAAATCAGCCGCAGATGCCAAGAAAACAGGCAATAGGTCCATGGGAACGGTGGGTCGGATGTTCATAAGTTCCTCACGGGTGTAGGAACAGCCAGATGCACAGTTAAAAAGTAAAAACAAAAGAAAATACACCCATAAACACATCTATACACACATACACACATCTATACACACATACACACATCTATACACCCATAAACACATCTATACACACATACACACATCTATACACACATATATACACCCATAAACACATCTATACACACGTACACACATCTATACACCCATAAACACATCTATACACACATACACACATCTATACACACATTCACACATCTATACACACATACACACATCTATACACACATTCACACATCTATACACACATACACACATCTATACACCCATCTATACACACATCTATACACACATCTATACACACATACACACATCTATACACCCATCTATACACACATCTATACACACATATACACATCTATACACACATGTGTATGTACACACATCTATACACACATCCATACACACATGCACACATCTATACACACATACACACACCTTTACACGCATACACATCTATACACACATCTATACACACATCTATACACACATACACACATCTATACACCCATCTATACACACATCTATACACACATATACACATCTATACACACATGTGTATGTACACACATCTATACACACATCCATACACACATGCACACATCTATACACACATACACACACCTTTACACGCATACACATCTATACACACATACACATCCATACACACGTACACACATACACACATCTATACACCCATACACACACCTTTACACACATACACATCTATAAACACATACACACATCTATACACCCATACACACATCTATACACGCATCTATACACACATCTGTACACACATTTGTACACACATCTATACACACATACACACATATACACATCTATACACACATCTATACACACATACACACATCTATACACACATACACACATCTATACACACATATACACATCTATACACACATATACACATCTATACACACATACACACATCTATACACACATACACACATCTATACACACATACACACATCTATACACACATATACACATCTATACACACATACACACATCTATACACACATATACACATCTATACACACATGTATACACACATACACACACTTACACACATCTATACACACATACACACACTTACACACATCTCATAGCCGCAGTGTTTGATGCATCTCCATAATATGTAAATGAGAGCATGAGTGAAAGCCTTAAAAGCCGTCACCGTTTCCCGTTATACTCTTAACACATCACTTTGAAGTCAAGTGAAACATGTACGAGGTGTCAGTGCTCCCACCGCACCCTGCGGAGTCTCGCCCTTGCCACGGTTCATCCAGCTCATCAGGGATTCACTCACTCGCACTCGCGACTTTTATTGTTTCAAAACTCCACGAGCTGAGATGAAGCTGTTTCATTTACACTTGAAGACATACGACTCTTACTTCATTTTTAAATCCTGACTTGGTAATTCATGAGTGTAGATGTAGATCCGGAGTCTCCAAAATTGTTATCATACTGAAATGGCAGCGAGCTACTCTTTTAGCAGTCGAAATACAATTATCTATCCACCCCCCTATCCATGTCTGGGTTGAGGGGTGGCAGTCAGAGCACCAGCCCCTCACTGATCCTCCTGCAGGTGCTGAGTCCACATAAACTTTGATCTTTCAGCAGGGGCTTCAGGCAAAGTGGGGTTAAATGTCTTGCCCAAGGACACAATAGTAGACGTCAGTGGGAGTCAGTGAAGAAGGTTCCATGGGGGATTGAACCCATAACCTTCAGGCTCAAAGTCCCAATGCTCTACCAACTTAGCTACTGTCACCCCCACATTCAAATCTCATACAGTAGAAACAACCTGTGAGAAAGCCTCTTGTCTATGTCAAAAGATGGACATATAATGAATATAACAGAATAAAATACACAAAAAAATCCTAATAAAATAACTGGAGACAGGAACTAAAACAGACAAGGAATGACAGTGACGGAACAGGAAGTGAAGGAACACACAGGGTTAAAATACAAGACTAACGAGACACAGGTGTGAGGGCGAGGTAGGTCCATGAGGGCGGGGCAAGTACATGAGGGCGGGGCAGGTACATGAGGGCGGGGCAGGTACATGAGGGCGGGGCAGGTACATGAGGGCGGGGCAGGTACATGAGGGCGGGGCAGGTACATGAGGGCGGGGCAGGTACATGAGGGCGGGGCAGGTACATGAGGGCGGGGCAGGTACATGAGGGCGGGGCAGGTACATGAGGGGGGGGGCAGGTACATGAGGGCGGGGCAGGTACATGAGGGCGGGGCAGGTACATGAGGGCGGGGCAAGTACATGAGGGCGGGGCAGGTACATGAGGGCGGGGCAGGTACATGAGGGCGGGGCAGGTACATGAGGGCGGGGCAAGTACATGAGGGCGGGGCAGGTACATGAGGGCGGGGCAGGTACATGAGGGCGGGGCAGGTACATGAGGGCGGGGCAGGTACATGAGGGCGGGGCAGGTACATGAGGGCGGGGCAGGTACATGAGGGCGGGGCAGGTACATGAGGGCGGGGCAGGTACATGAGGGCGGGGCAGGTACATGAGGGCGGGGCAGGTACATGAAGGCGGGGCAGGTACATGAGGGCGGGGCAGGTACATGAGGGTGGGGCAAGTACATGAGGGCGGGGCAGGTACATGAGGGCGGGGCAGGTGATCCGACAGGAAGTAAAACTAAACATCACATCCTCCAAACAGAACAACAACAGCACACACTACACATCTAATATCAACGCTCACCTGTGTGTTTGCTTGTTTGACTGGCAGTAACGGGTCTGGAACCTCGGAGGACCTGTTTTGGAAGCTGGACGCTCTGCAGACGTTCATCCGGGACCTGCACTGGCCGGAGGAGGAGTTTGGGAAACACCTGGAGATGCGCCTGAAGCTCATGTCCAGTGATATGATCGAGTCCTGTGTGAAAAGGTACCATGTGGTCCCTCCCTATGGTCCAATATCATGTGGTTCCTCCCTATGGTCCAATACTATGTGGTCTCTCCCTATGGTCCAATATCATGTGGTCCCTCCCTATGGTCCAATACTATGTGGTCTCTCCCTATGGTCCAATATCATGTGGTCCCTCCCTATGGTCCAATATCATGTGGTCTCTCCCTATGGTCCAATACCATGTGGTCTCTCTCTATGGTTCAATACCATGTGGTCTTTCCATATGAACCCAATACCATGCGGTCGCTCCCAATGGACCAATACTATTGCTTGCTTGCAATTGACGTCACGTCTGCCTCATTACATATGCGTATCACGAAGTGGTGGTCAGCCAAGCTCGTTGTTCACTAGAGCAGTGTGTCTGAATATGACTTTTGCATGTGTTGTTTTAAGTTTTCTAACCGATCGAATCGTGAAACCTTTAATGGATACTTGAGGATTCCTTGTGAAGAGATTAATAAAGAGCCTCGCACTAAGGACTTTTACGAAAACACGCAGGAAAAGTGCCTCGCTAACATTTCTAACAAACGCTTTTACCTCTAAGGATTATTTATTTACCCAGCCATGCAGTCACAATGCTCAGTTATTACATCTCCATCTTTATTTCATTCATTGTCAGGTATGAGTCGGTGTTTTAGATAAACACTGTGAATGTTTGACCTGAAAAGAACACAGCCACAGATGCATTGTTTTGTTGAGAATGATAAGTTCATACCAATCCTTACTTACACGGCTCTGTACGATGCAGGATGTGTCCTTCAGGACCTCAACTCTGAGTTCTTAAACCCACAGACAGACGGAAAAGTTGCAGTATCCGTGTTTATCCAAACCTTCATTTGTTTAGCACTGCAAAAGCTTGATTTTTGAGGGCAGCACGGTGGCTGAGTGGATAGCACTCTCACCTCCCAGCAAGAAGGTCCTGGGTTCGAATCCCGGTTGGACCAGGGCCTTTCTGAGTGGAGTTTGCATGTTCTCCCCGTGTCTGCGTAGGTTTCCTCCGGGTGCTCCGGTTTCCCCTACCACTAAAAATATGTACAATAGGTCTGGCATGTGCCTCCTGTACTGGCACCCCCACTCCCAAAAAAAATCACAATTGTAAACCGCGATAAGGCGGTATATACTGTAAATAAAGATTACTTACTTACTTACTTGATTGTAACACTAGCTGTGGGTTAGAATCTAAAGTGAATAAAAAGACAGTCTAGGATCTTGTCTTTAATTCAGACAGAAGACATGTTTTATTGTCGATGGTAGAGGCAGCATAGACAAAGACGTTACAGAATGCAAGTGACAGCGGAGGAATGGAAACGTATTAGCATATTAGCATTTACCGCTGTGCCAGTAGCTTCAACCTTGATATAACCAAAACATATAGTGGAAAAATTCTGCCTTGTGCATATTGTTAGAATGATGAGTTAGAA